GCTTTCTCAGGGAACAATTAGCAGGTTTTACCTATGAAAAAAAATGTACTTTTTCTCAAATCTCAAAGCTTGATGACCTCATAGAGTTGATATAAACAATGGATCATATAAGCTTAGGCCTGTAAACGAACCGAACGCACACGAACGGAGGTATGTTCATGTTCGTTCATTTAATAAATAGACGAACATAAACGAACACGAACATAAACGAACAAAAATTTTTTTGTTCATGTTCGTTTATTAAGGAATATAATATGTTCATGTTTGTTCATTTAATAAATAAACGAACATAAACGAACACGAACATAAACGAACACGAACATAAATGAACACGAACATAAACGAACATAAACGTTGGAGACCCTACCTTCCATTGTTCTTTCATGAAAAATAGTCGACAATGCAAATAACCAAATCTACAGTGATAAATAGCGTAAGAGTTTATTAGCAGTGATGAAATGTTTGAAGATATCAAATATTTTGATCGATCTTTTAAAGATATTAAATTATTCACACAACTTTAATTTAACACTATAACATTTATCTTAGTGGTCCATGATTACATATGAACAATCATTTTTCGCTATTACACTCTTTTCAGAAATTGCATAGAAACATTTGTTTGTTTTCTGGCAAATTCTATATATTTTTCTCTTTATTGATGCTCATATACTTCCGATTGTTACCTTTATCTTCCCATCTATTTCTAGAAAGAAGTATGATGTTTTCTTGAGTTTTAGATGTGAAGATACCTACAATAACTTACATATCAACTATTAAGCCAAATAAAACAGAGAAAGAGATGAAAACAGACCTGTAAAACTTCATATTGCACTATAATATAACTTGTTTTGAAGCTTTCAGCGATCGTCTCCACTCTCTAGTGAACACTAGGGTTTGGGGAAAAAAGGGGAAATGAATATAGGTGCGATGTGCCTCACATGTTAACATATTGGATTTAATCTCCAAATAAAATTGGGTTAATTATGGAGTTGGTCATCAGAATATCAGATTAATTAATATTTTAAGATACTTACAAATTGGTCACCAAATTGATTTAAGAAGATTGAGTTAAACATAAAGGAATGAACATAAACGAACATAATCGAACGAACATAACAAACATAACCGAACGAACATAATCGACGTTCACGAACGTAAATGAACGAACGAGACCTATGTTCATGTTCGTTCATTTAATTAAACGAACAAAAAATATTGTTCATGTTCGTTCATTTAATAAATAAACGCACATAAACGAACTTCCCGCCGCACGGTTCACGAACGGTTCGCTGAACGTTCAGTTCATTTACAGGCCTATATAAGCTGATTATGTAACATGAAAACGATGTTCTATTATATTTAATTACTTTGATTAGTCATCGAAAGTGAAAGAAAATGTTATGTTAATCCATCTTCCAACCAATTACTTCCATCCACAAGTTTTAGTTGCTGATTTCATTCACTAAAAAATTGCACGCCCAAATAATTTTTTCTTAAATTATGATAGATTAAATCAAGCAGAGTTTTAAAGATAATAAACTTTAGGGTAAAGTACAAAAATGGTCCTTCAACTATATGACATTAATTTGTTAAGTCCCTCAACTATTAAATGTTACAAAATGGTCACTGAAGTATTCAATATGTACCAAACTTGTCGTTTTCTATTAAAAAATAATGGTAGTCTGAGTTGGATGTTAATATGTTGTTTGAGATATGATAGTCGTTTGAGATTCTGGGATCATATTTATCATATCTCAGACAACATATTAACATCAGCCCAGGTTGTCGTCAATTTTTTAACGAAAAGGATGAATTTAACATAATGAATAGTTTGGCGATTATTTTGTAACTTTTAACAATCGAGGGACTCAACAAAACACTCTTATAATCAAATGATCATTTTATAACTTTTAATAGTCTAATGACTTAACAAAGCAACATCATATAGTCGACCATTTGTATATAAAAAATTTAAAAAAAATGTGCTTGATAGAAAGCAAGGACGGACACATGGTTTTATATTAGGGGATGAATTGAACTTATAAACTTCAGTGGAACAAACTTAAAGTTATAAAATTCTAGAGGGACGAAAACATATTTAATAGAAATAGGGGAGACGATCTCCTCCCAGCCCCACCTAAGATTGGAGGGTGAATTGAAAATTCTAAGTCACTTAGCTACAATATGATGAAATAATAATAATATAGTCAAGGCTGTGGATTGCAAAAGCAATCGGAATCAATGGCAGATACTGATCATTGCTGATGTCTATCCATTATTCTGTTTATAGTTGAAACAGAGATTCTTCTGCTGGTAAGGGAAGATTTTTTCCTAAAATATTATTTATATCGATTTATTACCTATGAATTAAACACTTATTATGAGAGATTATTTATCTCATTCCATTAAACTAATTGATAATTTTTTCTAATATTGATCGGTGGATATTGAAGAAAATCCCATGCAGATTATTGAGTGTTCACCCACATACATCTGACGTGGGTTGAGTTGGAGAGAAGATGAAGATAAAGATTCCATCAGAACTTATATAATATTTACAAATATATCAGATGAGCTTAGGTCATGACATGACACACAGTTGGTTAGCAGTTGGGGCATTTGAAATTTTCAACTTATTTTTCTCATTTATAATTTAACTTTCTTTATATTTCCCAGGTGATTAAATTGATAATTCTATGGATATTTTAGAGTTAATTGCATCATATGTCCTCAAATAACGACTCTCATTTTAAATTGGTCCATAAACTTCTTAATGTTTCAATTTCATCCCGAAACTACGACCCTCTTTCTAGATTAGTCCCTAAACTTTTGAATATTCTGATTTCATCCCCAAATCCATCCATGCATGTAATTATATTCATCATAAATTAACCTAAGATTTGTTTTTCTTCAAACATATAACAATACAACATGGCCTAACGATTTTATGAACAAGAATTTTGATCGGTATATGCGTATAGTATGGGATGAAATCGGAATGCTCGAAAAGTTTGGGGACCAATTTAGAAAGAGGGTCATAGTTTAGGGATGGAATTGAAATGCTCAAAACTTTAAAAACTAATTTAGAATGAAACTCGTAGTTTAGGGATGAAAATAAAATATTTAAACGTTTAGAGATCAATTTCAAATGAAGTTAGAGAACATACGACACAATTAACTCTTATTTTAAAAATAACCATATTTTAAAAGTATTATAATTAATTCGTGATACTGACTAAAGTTTAAAATAGCATCTCAATAATGTAAAGAAAGAAAAGATTTTTTTTCTGAGGTAAAATATTCTTCTCCACTTTACAAACAATATTGAATGATTTGCTTCATACTTTTATATACCACTTTAAAGGATTCATAATATTATGCAAATTTAATTGACTGTTTACATTTTTATCATTTTATAAATTAAAACAGATACGATCTCAATGGTAAAGGAATGATTGTTATTCTTTAATGTTCCACGTTCGATAGTCAGTTAGGCCAAATTAATATTTTATTTATAATCGATTTTTAATCCGACCTGACTCTGAAATAAAAAAGTAAACAGATATGAACTGAAACTATTATTCAACAATTCAATTTGGACCAACATAAATACACTATCAATTATATCACTCACTATACAGAATAATTCTAATCCTACATTACACAAACCCCATTTAAGTTCAACAGAGATGGCTGATAAAAGAACTTTCAAGCGTTCATAGACTTGAACTCAAATCCAAACCTATGCCTGGAGAATAATATGAGGAAGAAGATGAATCGTTTTCAGCAGGTCCAGCAGCAGGCAAATTTAGGTCCAAACTGCTGCAATCTTGCCTTGATTCGATGAGGTTCGGCCCTAGGTTTGAAGACGGCTCATCGGCTCCCAGTGGCATCTTTTGCCCACCCAAGACTTGACCACTGGAGAATACCCTCAAGCAAATGCTGCACTTGTGGCCCAGAAACATCATCAATTTATTCTCGTTTTCTTCCGCATTTTCTTTCGCTAATCCAAAGTCCCCGATGCATTCTTGTACATTCTTGTGGCTTGCCCTGTGGCCACCCAACGCTTGGTGGGATCCAAAAACCTTCTTGCAACTCGAGCATTTGAACCGGAAGTTGGCGGGATTTGACCCGAAATGGTGGGTTCTTGAACCCCGGGTTGATAACTTGTACCATTCGCTCTCACTAACGGCAACGGTACCGTTAGCCAACATCAACAAGGACGCTGCATAACTGATCCTCCTCAGTCATCAAGGCCAACGTATTCTTGATGCTTGGGGAAAACAGGACGACAATTCGGAGGGGGTTGATTCCACGCCATTGTCGTTCGGGTGACACCGCATGTGTCCGAAAAGTGCTTTCCAAGACCAGAACTTCTCCCGCACGCACTACATGCGGAGTGATATTCGGTGCATCAGGGTTGGGTTTTTTGGTATATTAGGCTGGAAAAGGAGTCGAACAGGTCGGAAATTGACCAGTGTCGATCTTAATCAATTGGGTCCGTTTCTTCTGGTGATCCGGATGATATTTGACTACGTTACCCACGAAGAAGCAATCCAGCCAGGATGGTACGTTGGGTAGTAGAAGAATGGAATGAAACCCCGGATCATTGGAACCAACGTTTTCGTTTTCTCGAGACAGAAGCAGAAGGGATGAAGCCAGGAGAAACAATGAAGAATTGAAGAGGGAAAAAAATGCAAAACGTGGTGGAAGTATTGCTTTGTAGGAAATGTCGTGCCAGCAGTTACTAAAGATTAAGAGGGACAAGTTTTGAAATTGGGCGGGTTTTCAGTTAGATGTTGGAACATGGGGTGGTTACCTTGGCCTTAGCCAATTACCCTGGATTATGCTTCAGTGCATTTACAAAAGTAACATCACTAAATATCTTTTTTCTATATATATATATATATATATATATATATATATATATATATTTTTTATTCTTCAAAATAATATATATCAAAAGAAAAAAAAAAGGACAGACAAGGCTTAGCAGCAGCAGCAGCAACTCAAAGGATCATTTCAGCATATGTGACAATACAGTTTCGAAGTCGATACGATCCTTAAGCTTTTGTCTAGGAAAATACATGGAATATCGAGTTTAAAAACTACACTAAGTTATCGCAATAGCCTCCGAATGCAGAGAAACTAGGGAGGAAGGAAAATCTGAACAAGTCTGCACTTTTGTTCGACGGCTTTCTATTACAACTTACAACACTCATACCTGAAGATCGCCTTTTTTTGTATGATTGGTCCGGTTGATTGCAGGGTTGTGCTTTAGCCATCTTCATAATTTTCCCAGGACATTTAAGACGGCAGCACGCTGCAACTCTTTTGCTGCGAAACAGGAAGGAAAAAACGTTAAGAGTTAAATTCTGCTGTACCATAAAACGAAATATTAATGCCACTAATTTCATGCCTTAAACCATTTCCAGATAAATTACCAGCGCTCCGAGTCTCCGATGATGGTATGTTATTATTTATAAACATGGTATACAGCATATAGATACACAGCACACGGAAATTACCTTCCTCCAGTGAGAGCTGAATTGATCTTTTTTCGAGTTCAACAGCTTTACTTGGTTCAACTGCAGAAAGCGATCGAAGCACTGACAACACAACATCAAACAACTTTAGAAGTTTGTAAGAATTTTAAGATCAGAGTCGATATGGTAAGAAGGATTCACTAAGCTAATAGACATACTCTGCGCGTAATCCTCTAAATCGGACTGGTCCAACTTTTCAATGCATCTGCAAATTGATAATACCGTTCTTCAAAGTGAAGCTTTATAGTTCCCTTTGGACTATCCAAGCCAGAGGCAGCAGAAACGACTGTATGCTGATTGGATTCTACAGGTGCTAATCCAGTAGCAGGCTTTCCGGGAGGTAAAGGCATGGAAGGTTTGCAAGACAAAACTTGTCGAGGATGCCATCTGGAGTGGTGCAAATGCCTGAAAACAAGAAACTTTAGGCTCCTTTATTTCGGGATTTTGTTGGTTAATTCCCTCTACTTGACTAGCATGCTTAGGCCGTTGGCAATTATTCATGTTGCTACAGTTGAAAGCACAGTTCTTCCCTAGTTCAGCTTCGGGTTTTCTACGGACATAGACAAGATGCCCGCTTATAGAACTAGTGCTTGGTGATTGGCAGTGCGAAGGACTCACAGGGCATTCGGGGATGGTCTCTTAGTTCCAGAAACCTTAGTAGGATCAGTAGCTGGTCCTCTGTCTTTAGAAATCGAAGAGCTTCCCGTAGAGTAAGGCACAGTTCTATGTTCGTTCTGCAGATCTCTCAATGGCTTCTTCTTTGCACCAACTAGAGGTTGTTTATCACATGTGGCTGAGTTGTTTTCAGGATTCCGCAGTCCGTATTCACTGATTTTGGGGTCTATTGTTTGTTGTCCCATCTGGTGATTTTAATTCTGGTAACAAGAAGACCAAGACCATGATAATATAAACCAAATTAAAACGAATGATGCAGTTCTTAAACTAAGAAGGAAAAAGAGATTGTTGGAGTCTTGGAGATATAATTTTTCAACCCGATTGACCAAATATAGCTTTTTCATGGAATCTAATGCATACTGCTTTCCATAATTGACCAGCAAGAACCCAGACCACTAAATATATTAACATTAGCCTTTGGCTTAAATGGAAAATAACTGTTATATGAAACTAGGCACCCTACAGCTGTAATCATTACCCCGATAGTAGATCACAATGGAAATTTTATCGGATACATTAAAGCCAAGCAAAAATGGCGTAAATACTAGCAACAAGAGACACATTTTGTCAGCCATTAATTCACACAAATAAGTGGTAATACGACTACCACACAAGACCACCAATGTTCTAAATTGGCCAAAAAGAAAATCCTAAGAACCAAATTCTAAAGAGACTGAAACTTGTTTATCGCATACAGCATTTACCTCTTGAACTTTCTCTTCATGTTTGGGATAGTGTAAGATAACAATAATACACAATAGCCATTTAAAACATTACAAAAGAACAAAGTTTATTGATGATTTTCATGCAAGGAGTTTGACCTTAGGCAGAAAATGTCTCAAGGGATGTGAATAGTCAACAGTTTTGGGATCTCTTCCGGTTTGTGGTTATGGGCAAATATCATGACAATTCAATACTAAGGATCGAGGAAAACGACCTACGTCCCATAAAATGTAGGCCTCTGGTTGTGTTTCCTCCCTGATTAGTGCTAATAAAACCCATATAATTTTCTTTACAGACTACACATATTGTTTCCGATGGGAAGATAATGGAAGGCAAATGATTGGAACAAAAGGCATGCAGGTACCACCCTCACCTTTGTCAAATTTGAAATAGTTTTATCTGATCATTAACAACCACCAAACGCGGAGAAGTTATTGCTAGGGTCGTAAATTAAAACGAAATTAATGTTTTAAAAAATGAAACTCATATCATTTGAGAATAACATTTATACTTCAAACCATTTACATTTACATTTACAAATAAATCCTCATGTTTGGAATCAATATACATATATATATATATATATATATATTTCAATTCTAAACAAAGCAAACTATAGATTTCCAATAAGCTCCACTACATTCTGCTGAATTCATCGAACAATATCTAGGTATACTAAGAAATAGGGAATGCAATATGACCAGATGCATACACTCTCCATGCGTTTTAAGTTTAATTTACTCTTTCGAGGAAACAAGATACAAACTTGGCATTACAATATATAACAAATTAGGTTAATTTCACCAGAAATCAAACAAAGAACATTTAACTCAATAAACGTCAGAATTAAAGGTCATACCAATTTAACAAAAGTTAACAGAAAGAAAAAAAATTAAAACTGCAAAAACATGATAAATTGCAGAAAATACAAAGACCCAGTGTCTAAGGTGCTTCATTTAACACAAATTAATCAACTTTTCGGGACATGGGTTCTGCAAAAATTCAAGGAACGATACCCATTGAGTCAGAATGCATAATCAGCAGAAAAAATCGAAATATTCATGAAAGGTATCAAAGTTGATCATATTCAAAACCCAAGATTACCTAAAAAATAAAAATAAGGAAATGAATCGCGGCGAAAGAAAACTAGAAGAAAACATTGAATCAAAATAAAGGCAGACAAACATTTACCTTAGCTCATTTAAACTCGGAGAAGTAGAGAAAAATAAGAGCGAAAGATCGGTATTAGGAGCAAGGGAACTTTTGCCTCTAACGAAGTAGTTTTATTTACCGTTTAGACCTTTCGAACATTTTAATTTTAGTTTCCAGGGGAATATTACATTGTGGCACCCTAATCTATTGGATATTTCTATTTCCCCTAATTAAGAAAACTATATAATCTCGCTATTGCCTTTCTTGGGGTGTGTGGCATATTGGATATAACAGATTGAGTAGCAAGAACTTACAATTCCTTGCATAAGTATTCATGTTTGATTCATGTGAATCACAGCTCAAGAATTCAATATGGACGTTCCTGCAGTAGCACGTAGTGCTCTGATGATCTCTTCCTGTATAGGAAACCGGTTTTCGTCTTCTCGGAGAACTGGAGAAACAAAGAAGATGAACAGCTTGGACGGATTCGATCCTTGCTGATAAGGAAGTAGAGGGTAGCTCCGTGTTTCCAAAGATACTTAAACATGCATAGTCTCCGAGGGCTGAGACACCTCAAGGGATGCAACAATGGAGAACGTTAGGTAGCTACTAATTTTAGTAAAAACTGAAGGCTTACATGTTCACCACCACCAATGGATACATCCTTCATACTTTCTTTGACGGTCGGCCTCTCTGTCGGGTTGCGGCAGGCGTATTTTTGTCGGCCTCTCAATGTCCCTAACCTCATCAGGATCCAGATCAGAGAAATTTTGGGAAAGAACTTGTTGATGGCATGTCACTAAAATTGAAATCAATTTAAATATTCGGGTTAAATTATTTTAAATTAGGATTGAATCATAGAATAGATGAGTATTGAATGTGTTATATACATATCACTAAAACACCAGAAGTTACATCACAAATTAGTCAGATGTAAACATTTATGGAAAAAGTTTCCATTAACAAAACCACAAATGGCTTCGCAAAGCTCGAAAGCTGTAAAAACACGGGTCCTGGTCCTCTTAGTCTTAGCCTAGATCTAACTGAACAATAAGGAGATACACAACAAGTGATTTAGCCGCTAGAATTCAAGATGTTGGCATAATTGTGAGATTCTGGAACCAGGGACTGTACAACTGAGCCAGAACTGATCCTGTGTCCAGTCGCTAAGCATTTTGGGCATTTGAAGCTCTGGTAATTCTCACTGCCTAATGGAAGTTGCAGAGATACAGAAGATAGTACTCTCTTGTCTGATATTTTCTCTTCTTCCATTGCTTCTTCGATTTCTCTTGAAGATTTGGGTGCCGCCATTGATGTCACCAAAGCCTCTTTTGGGCTGCAAAATGAATTTGTTTCCATGGATGATGACAGAGGAGAAGATGATGGAGATGTGTGGTGTTCTTCATTAACTTCAACTCTTCCTCCTTGCTGCCCTTTGCTCAAGAACTTTCAATGATGTTGCCTTCCTGTACACCTTGCACAACACTACATCCTGCCCAATATCCATATGCTTTTATCAGAAAGTCTGGTATGAAATAATTAATGAAAAATTAAGTATCGGAGTCAAAAGTCAAGTCTTTTTAGTTACTAATGAGTTCATAGGTGTAATTATGCTTCCAGTCCCTGTACTCTTTGAAAGTTTGAAATTGATTCCTACTAGTATACCTTGGGCAAGGAGCAACCATCAGGGAGACGGTACTCGTTCATCACCCAATCAGTCTTGCTTCCTCGTGGAGCTCTCCTTTATAGAACACGAGAGTCTTTTTCAGGCCAATAACGTGCTTTGGTTCGGATAAACTCACGATTTTCCGATCGGAGCCGGTGGCTTCCAGAACCCATTCTTGGTAGTCCATTAGGCCTCCCACCACTTCCATGCTTCCTATCTCTCGGCACAAAGAAATACCATTCCCTCTCTCCGATCTTCGACAACCCTATAAAGAAACATTGTTATTATTCGCCTATATATATATATATATATGTATGTATATACGTACCAGGCAAGTCCCAGGGATCGTGGCAATAGATGTTGAGGAATCCGATTACATCGTACTGGAACTTGGAGTCGTAAATCATGTTTTTGAGGTAAAATTGGAGGAGTTCTTCCTCTGTCGGATGGAACCGGAAGCCTGGAAGTTCAATCTTCGAGTTGTTATCATACTGGACTGCTGCTCATTGTGGTTGATTCTTACACTGATCCTATATATAATATAATACGAGAATGTAAGATGAAAACTTATGAAAAATGTTTGCTCAATGCAAAAGACAATGTTTGGTCCGTGAACATTTGCTTATTTATACATGTTTCGGACAGGGATAAACAGGAAGCATTTACCAAGTCATCAAGAAACTATTGGTCAAATTTTATGAAAGGTCCCTGTGCTATTTGATATTTTCTAATCCGTACTTTTTACATCGTCTATTTTCAATTCTAAAGGCATTTTTTCTCATGAATTCCATTAAATAATGTGACATATACATTTGCTACAAAACCAGAACTCAAAAATCTCCAAGAA